TACACTATTGGCCAAAAGTTGCGGAAACACCTGGTTTTCGAAGGATCGTCTAAAAATTGAAGATTTTCAAAAATATTTTACTAACTCGCTTCGGGCAAAAAGGACGTTCTCTTTTTAAAGGCTGTTGTCATATATTCAATAACAACAATAATCTCTCTCTATAGCCGACCACTCGTATTCGACGCTGGCTCAGGCATATTTGTGTTTATTCAACACTCACAGATCCCACCTGTGGTTTAGACTGCAACTATGCTGAGCAGACTTTAGTTACAGTTTCTGGGAAAGAGCGTGTTCTCCGGCGTGATAATGATGACTTGTGACTTCGTGCTAGCACAGCTATCGACGACCCCTAAGGGTTCCGTCTAGCACATTTAACTCACAAGGCTTGGGTCAACCCATGGTATGGTTTTCAGGCACTTTTCAAAGGTGCCGCACGCTGGGGACGACCCCATCATCGTCCGATAACATCAGAAAATCTCTTTCCTGAAAAATCGACCATGGTGAGATTCGAACCCAGGTCTCATGGTCACAACAGAATATTATTATTATTATTATTATTATTATTATCATTATTATTATTATTATCATCATCATCATCATCATCATTCTTCTTCTTCTTCTTCTTCTTCTTCTTCCATACAAATACTTAGATATTAATGAAAGAGACGAAATACAACATTCAATGATGAAAAAAAAAAGATCCGAAGAAATAGTATAGGCAAGTGCGTTTGATACTAGAAATCGAACTTAATGGGGGGTCAATAAAATGAAGGCTATCAACACCTTAGCTATCCTCGTAGTAACATACAGCTTCAACATTATTAAATGGAAGTTGAATGACATTAAAAGATTGGACGCCAAAACCAGAAAAAGGCTTATCCAAATGAGGATGCACCGAAATCAGATTTTGATAGGTTGTACGTACCAAGAGCTTTAGGAGGCCGAAGTCTAATCCAAGTTAAAATCATTCTAAAAACTACAACAATTGGTATTGGAAGCATACCTCACAAAAAGCCATGACCTTCTCCTACAAATAGTAAAATACCAAATCCACTCCATCAACAAAGAAGCTGGACTCTTCAAGAAACAGCTGAATATAGCTGAAAACCTACCAAGAAAAAACGAAGCGAATAACATCTACACGAGTAAAACAAAGCAAAACAACTTGACAAAATGAAGGTACAGAAGAAAACAAAAAAACTGGGAGGACAAGGCGTTTGCATGACAAAAACCTAAAAAGAACGAAAGAATGGGATGTAGACCAAGAGAAAACACATCAGCACCGGGTTGAAAGCTGAGACAGAAGGCCGAATTATTGCAACAAAGGAACCAAAGCCTTGCAACCAGATTATATCAGTGTCAGATAATCAAGGATGGAACTAACCCCAAAATGCAAGATCTGTGGAAAATATGAGGAAACATTCAACCATATTATCTCAGGATGTCCGGAACTAGCACAAAATGAATATACCTATAACAAGGTAGCGACATATGTGTACTGGAAGATATGCAAGAATCACAAAATCGAAACAACTCAGAGGTATAAGCTCCAGCCAGATACAACAAGCCAATTCAAAATGACAAGGAAATAAAAGCCACGAGACCTGATATCGTAAAAGACAAGAAATTCACGAACATAGCAGTACCATCGTAGAGAAACACCTCCATAAAAATTATCGAGGAACTGTCCAAATACAAGGACCTGGAGATTGAGATTAACAGGATATGGGGGAATGAAGACTGAGACTGTACTAATAGTAATTGGAGCTCTGGGTCTTGTGAGAAAAGGAATGGACAATTTTACTAATAGTGTCCCATGTAACATCAACATACAAGTTGCCCAGAAAATTGCCCTAATAGAATCATCTCATATACTAAGAAAAGTGATATCAATTATATGACAATTTTTCTATAGGGTCTAAGGACCATAGTTTGGATTCGGCTCTACATGATACAAAGTAGGAAATATAACGTACACAAATAATAATAATAATAATAATGAGAAGAAGACGAAGAAGAAGAAGAAGAAGAAGAAGAAGAAGAAGAAGAAGAAGAAGAAGAAGAAGAAGAAGAAGAAGAAGAAAATGTGGCACATAAAAACTAAAACATTTTCTGTTATGATTGCAGCTTTGGGTCAGATAAAAAAAGGAACTCAAAGTCAAATCAACAAAATCCGTGGTGTCCCATCTCACAGGAAATCCCTAAAATAGTTCTAAGAACCGCAGTCCATATTCTGCGAAGAGCTTTGTCCATTTAAGTTTTTTGTTTGTTGTTAATAGATGTCTTTTGTTTAATTAAGTGGAAACCACAAAAACATCACATCCTTCGCCTGCCTGAGGTAACTGGTCATAAAACACGTGCTTATTAAACAAATGCGACATGTGATTAAAATGCAAACGCAGACCAAAATTATTTTTCTAAAATAAATAATAACGTGATTTCATAAAAAAAAGAACTCTTTTTACCTAATGTCGTCTTCGTTTGCAGGAGAAGGAAAACTATAGATTCAAACCAACCTGGAGAGGGTTGGGCCCTGCCAGGTTTTATTGCCCAAGACACACCACTTCTATTGCGGCTGAAGTACATGTGGTACTCCTTAGACCCTAATGGGCTATGGGACTCGTGATCGTAACTTTGGGGCAGGCAGATTTTAAATTTTACGAAACAGCTCGCTAAAAAATTAGACACCTATCACTACTAAGTGAAATAGTTTCAGCATCCTAACTTAATTAATTAAGCCAAAGAAAGTATAAAACTTATTAAATTCAGTGGGTGGCCCCCAAATAAACGATAAAGAGCTAACGAACCTTCAGGGACACTTTCAAAATTATTCTTTGTGCTAAGATGTCGGTGGAAACTCTATTATCGCTTCATGAAGTAATTTCCTGTGGAATTTCACATTTCTCGAACGGAATTAACGTTTCTGACAGCATTAATTAATTAATTATATATGAATGCTGCTGATGGTGATCGGAGCAATGTCGGTGATGATGAAAATAATTAAAGAAAGAAAATGATTAAAATAAAAGATTAAGAAGAAAAACTGAGGTCAAAAGAGAAAATAAAACTAACATAAAAAATAGCCAAAATACCACAAGAATTACAAAACTGAAAACAAAACTCTTCCGGGAAGCAGCGTTGTCGGGATATAGACAGAAAAAAGACATTGAACTTGTACCGGACAACGAACTATATTACAACTTTGTCATACATTTCCCTCTCAATATATATATATATATATATATATATATATATATATATATATATATATATATATATAAGTGCACGAGGCCTTCGCCAGTATAATCAAATCTCATGTGCCGGTGTCGGGCTGTCGGTTTCTTGAAACTGATCTGCTTGACCCTCATACGTCGAATCTCGACGGGAGAGTCGATTATATATATATATATATATATATATATATATATATATGTGTGTGTGTGTGTGTGTGTGTGTGTGTGTGTGTGTATTTACAATTTATCATACATTTCCCCAATGTATATATATATTTAATTCCAGCTAAGTATATTTTTCCTTATCTCTTTTATTCATATATATATATATATATATATATATATATATATATATATATATATATATTAGAAAGAACAGTAAGATATATAATAGATATTTTTATTTTTACAAAATAGTGCTCATTGTAAATTTACAGAGCATTAATATTATAAAATTAATTGATTTAAAATATGTTTTTTTTCGCTACACAGTTCTAACCATGTTTCAAAAAAGTTACGAGTTTAATTTTGCAAAAATTACAAAATTAATTTAAGCTTTTGTTCCATTTTGAAACATGGTTAAACTGTGTAGCGAAAAAAACATTTTTTAAATCAATTAATTTATATATATATATATATATATATATATATATATATATATATATATATATATATTGGTGGAAATATAGGGCTTTTATATTGATGCGACAGCACAGGCGCAAGAAAAAGTGATGCTGGGAATTTAAAAAAATAGAAAAAAAAAATCTAGCGATAGTCCGATGAAGTCCTAAAGGACGAAACCCGTCACACGAAATCTTTTCCCTTTTTTGTCATACATTTTCCCCAATATTGTTCTTGAAATATAAAAACCTATATTGTTATCTCATATATATAATAATAATAATAATAATAATAATAATAATAATAATAAGAAGAAGAAGAAGAAGAAAAAGAAGAAACATAGTTTTTAAGGTGTGCTATATTTATGGGATAAAGTGCCCAATATCAGAGATAGAGCGTATGTAAATATAGAAGTGAACACTGAAGTCAATACTTAGAGGCGACAGGGTGTTTCATGCTAGAGGCAATCGTCAGGCAGCCTGACGATTGCGTCTTGTTAACATGTATTCGGCTATTATAGAATATTGTTGTTGTATGTTATTGTTTTTATCTGTATGTTTACTATTGCTATTAGTTCCTTTAGAAAGAAATAGTCAAATCTGGTGGTCAATGATGTAGTTAGGAAAACCATTGTTAACTAACTTTTGTTCCACATTATTGAGTTCTTTAAGGAAAAGGGGATGAAAGAATGAATTCTCGTGTGCTCACTTGAGGAAATTTGTATAACTACTATTTCATACCTAAGTGGGCATTTACACTTAACATTAAGGTGGCAAGATTTTCTGATATATATATTATTTTACATTTGCTATAATTATGAGTGAATTTTCTATATTAAAACAGGAAGAGTGTATTTAGTAATAGGAAAATTTCGTTAGAAACAAAGACATGTAATATCAGTCCGTCTATATTCTATTAAATGCTGGACAATCCGCTCGATGATGAAGAAGAGACTTGAGGCAACAGAAATATGGTTCTACAGAAGGATGCTTAGAATACCTCTGGTCGAGCATGTTGCAACGACGAAGTTTTAAGAAAAATGGAAACAAAAATGGACATTCATAGTTTGAATCAGAAACTGAGAATTGAAATAGGATCAAGGATCTCCGATTAATATTTCCGAACCATTATCCATTACACTACGCGCTTGCAGCACTTGGTCTTTCCAAGTGGTCACCCATCAAGCTACTGACCAAGTTCGACGTTGCTTTACGTCGGTGATCGTACGGAACTGATGTTTCAACGTGATGTGTCCGTAAGCCTATTTGCAAATGACGCTGTCTTTAAATAAATATTGCCATACATTATCCAGATATTTTTACGGCTATTATGTTTCTCATAATGGCTATCCACAGTTTCCTGTCATTTGTAGCAGTTAGTAAAGTTTGACTTTTGGTTATCAATCCTAATCTCTGTTACACAAACACGATCTTATTCATTTTCTTCTATGCGCAGTGTCCCTTCAGGACGAACCACACATGACTCTCCACAGTTTACTCTATAGCTCTTAGTAAAGCTTGTCATTTTGCTATCTCTCAAAATCCCTGTCTCACCAGCCATTAACACAAGCACGTTCTTCTTCATGTTCTTCTATGTATCGTGTCCTGTTGTCTTTTTCCTATCTCTAAAACTCTGTCTTACCAACCATTAACACAAACACGTTCTTCTTCATCTTCTTCTCTGTGTCGTGTCCCTTTTTCTGGGCGGTTGGTAGATATCCAGCAGTTGGAGATTCATTGTGGAATTCCCCTGAATCACTTCTAGCAGTTGACTCTTTCTACGCGCCGCTGGCGAATCTTATATGTGTTGTTCTTGTCCTAAGTATTATCGTTCATTAGTAACCTTCGTGTGATTATTCTATTCAGTAACCTTCCCTAGGTTACAACAAGGCGTTGATGTGATTTCTTCACTGTCTTTACGGCTACGCTAGTTATTTATAATAATAAAAAAAGATGTTTTTTGAATATTATCTCTTTACGATTGGGATTATTTAAAAAAATCATTAATATTAACTAGCTGTTCACTTGAATTAAAATATCAAGATTTCTTAAACATATTCGAACTTTCATTCGATAATATAACAAAGAGTGACGCAGCAAATATAAAAAAAACATGAATAGAAATTCAATTGAAATTATTTTTTTGAAGAAATCATTGGCAAATGATTTTCTAGGTATTTATGCAATGCGTAATATCACGTGCCCTGGAGAGAACCCTCCAGCCTCGCCTCACCGCGACGTCAAACACGGGAGGCAACAATGTACGGGTAGGAGGATTCCGAATGTCATTATGTAAGGGGAGCTGACAACCGGCAATAGAGCACGTCCACAGAAGAGACATAAGGGCAATGGACATGGACATGGACATCGATAGGTGGGATGTTGCCAACGACAGCACACGCTGGAGACGCGATTTACATCGAGGGCTTGAGCGAGGAGAGAAGAAACGGGAGTTTGACTAGTACATCAGAAGCTGAGGCGTTACTTTTGGGGCTCAGATCCATGGTCTCTCGAGACCGACGGATACTCTATGAGGGCTACTGATATCATGTAATCCAATGATACCTGTCGCATTGCAGGCTCATCGGCGGCTAAAACGGTTCTCTCAACTGGCTTTTCTGGTGAGGAGAGTAGCTAGACTCCTAGCCGGATTAAAGTATAAGACCTTTCAAAGGGTAGGGTTAGGTAAACACTCGTGTAGGGCCAACGGCTGTCTTGGATAGACTGGTTTCTGTATGTATACAGCCGGTATCGATGAGCGAAGGAGTTTCTAGAATGAAGTCAACAGCCATGACAGACGGTTCCCCGAATGATTTAACCGGCTCGTGTCCGAGTTCAAGGCGATCCTTCAAGTTGGAAGACATTGACTCTGGTTTTACCTGGACAGGTATGGGATCCGCCCGGGATACTTGCCAAAGACATGCTACATATCAATGAACACTTGTCTGACTTTCAGTCGATATCTGGCGGGAACTAATCAGATGTCCAGGAGCGCAGTAACCCTACGACCACACCCGGACTGATGATGATGAAGATGATGATGATGATTATGCTGATATCACGAGTAGAATTCATTGTTATTAATTTTTCACTCGTATTTCTTAATTGCACTTGCCTTTTATCGCCACTTCCAGATCATCATTCTATAATCGTTAATAAGCAATGTGGTTGGGGAAAAAAAATTCAGACAAGATTCGAACTTGACCCCGGTACGATTAGTCTTTAATTCCAGTAGAGGTTGGGATAAAAAAGCAACTGAAATAAAAATGAAAACAAAAATTAGTAAAAAATAATCAAAATCTGAAAATGTTTCTCTCAATATACTTTAAATACTTTATTCCAAATACGACATTTCTATAATGGGGGTATAGAGAAAGCTCTGCCATTCGGTCGGAAAATGAAACTAAAGTCAAGGGTAGATTTTGCAACGACTGCAATTAAAGCCCGAATATGAAGAAAAAGGTTAACTCGTCTTATCAATGCCCACTGAATTTACCTCTACTCTAGAGCTCTTTCGTTTCGCTTACGTCATTTTCTGCATTGGCAAACTAAATAATTCTGATAAAATATTTTATATTATTAATAATCGAATTTTGCTATTTTTGACTTTCATTTATTTTGCCATATTTCATCAATCAATCTTCCCAATATACAGATTATACAACTACAGTACCGTGCAAGTGTCTTAGGATATTTTAAACTATTGTAAAGTTCTAATAATTACCATCTTATAAGTTGATGTTTTTGTTGTTCTGTCAATAGATGGAATTTTGGTAACATTGAAATCATTTTCACACCTAATTATCATATTTTTAACAAAGGCTGTGAATAAAGAGAAAAGATGCGAGACGACACCCAAAAATAACCATACAAAATTCTTTGGACACATGACCTTTTCTGTTTGCTTTGTTTTTGTTCCACCGCGAAAAGACACATATTTTTCTCGAAACAGGACGAATTTTTTTTATACGTATAGGGTAAACTCTGACATCAAATTCTTGCATTCTTTCATTACTTGTAATCATGGTGAAAATTTCCAAAAGAAACAAAGATGAAAAAAGTGAAAATGTCAAAGAATATGAACCAGCGAGCAATCGCTGAGAAACTTGGAATACCAAGAAGCGACATTTCAGAAATTCTCTCAAAGCATAGGAAGAGTTTTGAATCGTTGAAACTATTTTCGCCTTCGGTGGAGTAATGGATAGCGGCTCGGATTGAGGAATGGGGGAGCCGAGTTCGAATTCCAGTCGAATCCATTACATTCACTTACGTGATAATACCTTTGGGAAAGGTATGAATCCTCTTCTTCTCCCCCCCCCCCAGCTATGGGTAAATAGGACCGGGTTCTATAGCGTTGGATGGCAACTGGTCTACCGCAGAAAGAAATGGCCAGTGGCGTAACTAAGGGGGGGGGCGCACTGCCCGGGTGCCAGCATAGGAGGGGTGACACAATGTCACCCCCAACAAAATTTTTCAACCAGGCTAAGGTGCCAAAATAGTCTGAAAACAGTGATGGAGACACAGAGTTTCGCAGGCGGTCATATGACTCCCCAGAAATAATTTATGACCCATCATTTTTGTCCCCCCGTCAGAAATTTTCTAATAAATTGTCGGGAAATTTGTGAGTAGGAAAAATAGCAATGTTTTCAGCTTTTGATTTGAACTGATTATTTTGTGGTATTGGATTTTGTCTTGGATCATACATGTAAACAGTAACATACCGGTTAGTAGAGTAAAGTAGAGGTAGAGCATGTATGAAAATTTAGCTAAAGCTAACCATTCAGCATAGGGTGAATCGGGGTCACTGGGGTGACATTTGAGCGGACCGCCCCGGGTGACGTTTACTCTAGCTACGCCACTGGAAATGGCAACCTACTGCGGAAAAACATCTGTCTCGTCAGTCTTGTATCGAAAGATATATGATCGCCTAAACGTGTATCACGTATGGCATACAACTGACTGACTGAAAATAAAATGATTAAGCAATGGGTGAGTGCGACTTGTGTTCGATTTTGTGTCAGTAGATAACACTAAGTCCATTCTTCAATAACATGGAATGAAGAGAGTCAATTTAATGAAGAAATCAGCTTTAAACAAAAAGCATTTGAAGACAACATTAAACTGATCCAAGCCGTATTTTCATTGGTGAGGAAACTTTGGATAAGATCACATTCAGCAACGAAACGAAAATGCAGCTATACTCCAATCAGTTTGACTTTGTCAGAAGGCCGACAAGAAAGCGAAATGACTGACGTCACACAACGAAAACGATGAAATGTTGCTTTACAGCGGTATAAAAAGAGATGGTTAAAAAAAAAGGATGGTTAAAAAAAAGGATGGTTAAAAAAAAAGGATGGTTAAAACTGACGATAGTTTGAATGGTGCTGAAGGAACATTTGATATCAGACTTGGTATGCAGGTAGGGTTTTTAGCATTACGGAACTCAATATCAAAGATTGCATGCAGCAAAGCAGAGACTGTCACGGTATTGAAAAAATAGCCAGATTAGAGCCCTGATTTTAATCCTGGGTCAAATGTTGACAGAACTAATGGGAAGAAGTCATCAAAAGAATCCACTCGATCTTGAGTTACGGGAGCCCAACCACCGGGAGTGGTATGTAGTTCCTGTAACCTGTGAAAATGGTGAAACAATTGTACAAATCTCATTCCATTCCACGTACACTGAAGCACTTATACAAATTACTGGAAGCCACACAAAATATTAACAATGTGTATTAATTTCTTGAGATCAATATTATATAATAAATTTTCATTACAGATATTTTTCTGTTTTAAAACATAGCAACTGACATGGTTGATAGAAGGTGGCCGAAATCTTTTGCATGGCCATCTTTCGGGGTTGTCCTTCATCTTCCATACTCTTTCATAATCCGTGCTAAAAACAATGATAATTCGGTGTGAAAATGTATCCAATATGGTCAAAACTTCATCTGTAGACAGCACAATAAAAAACATTTAAGATAGCAATTATGATAAACTCACATTCTAATTTATCCGAAGACTTTTGCACTGTACTTTATTTGTTCCTGTCTTAATAGTAAGCCTGATAGATTCGATAAAATCAAATTGGCAGCTGATCTGGAAAATGACTTTGTATCTGTTGTTAACTGGGGCAAGTAGTGGCTTGTTAATTTTAACGACTCCAAAACGAAACTGCCTTCTATTAGTCATTTTAAAGAATGTTTTTGCCTTCCATCAGCATGGCTGATACTAACTTCCAGAACAGCAAATCACTGCGTCTTTTTGGCCTCAGGATTTCCACTGATATGAAGTGAAACGATTATATTGAATCAGTTTTTAAGTCAGCTGATAGGAAAGTCGGTTCACTATGTCGTGTTAGAGAGCTGTTCTTTTATCGCTGTAATCTATTGTACATATTCTACAGTCCATCCGCGCGTTGATTATTCTTGCCACATCTGGTCAGGTGCTTCTGTTATGTATCTAGGGGTTCTTGATAAAATCCATAGAAGAATCTGCAATGTTATCGGTCTTGATCTTGCATTTCAGCTTCAGTCACTTTCCCAACGCCGTAACGTAGCTTCCCTTGGCATTTTCTATTAAATATTTTCACGGTAATTGTTTTGATGAGCTTTCCGCTTTTGTACATCGGCTTCACGAATTTAAACGCAGTACTCGATTGGCAGCTAGATCTCATAATTTTACTGTTGAAATTGCTTGTTGTAACCGTAACCGCAGAAAGAAATGGCAACCTACTGCGGGAAAAAAATCTGCCTCGTCAGTTATGTATCGAAAGATACATGATCGCCTACACGGCACATAACTGAAATCCGTATAAACTACATCTAACACGAGTGTCCCCTGTGCCTGGTACTTATTGTATAAGAAGAAGAAAAAAAACTAGACGAGATATTTGTAGACATGGCAGCGGAACTTTGGATGTCCAAAAGCATGGGACGTGGAACTAGAACAATCTACCCCTGTGGGCGAAATAATCTGTTTGGTTCGAAGTTCCAACAAATATCACCTAAAGAATGCCGGGGCGTAAAACGGCCGAAACGTCATGAATATGGCAATAAAGACTAGGACAATCAGTCGGAACAATGTAAATACATCTAAGAAATATAGAATATAGCACTAAAGATGAGAAAAACAGTCCAAACGATGTAAATAGTGTAAATAAAATACCAATATGTTCATAGGCATAAAAATGCGTCAACGAACCCTTTACTTAGTCCAAGGGGGTAGATTCGAAATGTGCCATGCCAAAGACACATGGCCCAATGGATAAAATGTAGGCTGAGTAATCCAAAAAGTGACAAGATCCAACAAGTAACATAAGAACATAACTTTGAGAGTTGAGGTGCTAAAGGTAATTAACTGAAACGAAGATATCCAAAAAATGCACGGCATATCGAATTAGAACTATCTACCGGCGTGGAATAAATAAAGGGTTCGGTTGGCTCGAAATTCCAACAAATATCACCTGAAGAAGATCTAATGTACAATGGCTGAAACGTCGTGAATATGGCAATAAAGATTAGGACAACAGTCCAAAGGGTGTAAAAATGTAAATAAAATACAAACATGTTCACAGGCATAAAAACGAGTCACTCGTGTGTGTAAACGATGGTACTAAATATTTACGCTATTTAATTGTTCGGACTGTTGTCCACATCTTGGTAGTCATATTCCCCACGTTTCGGCCGTTCTACGTTCCGGCCTTCTAAGGTGATTGGAATTTCGAACAAAACCCTTTATTTCGTCCACAGGGGTAAACTGTTCTAGTTCCACGTGCCGTGCCTTTTCCGAAAAACCTGTGGACGGAATAAAAGGTTCGACCCGAAATTCCAGCCACCTGAGAAAGCCGGCGCGTACAACGGCCGAAACGTCGTGGATATAACAACCAAGATGAAGACAAAAGTCTGAACAATATAAATACATAGTTATAACCCCTCATCTCAGAAATATAGACTGTGAATATGTCAATAAAGATGAGGACAACAGTCCGAACAATGTAAATTGTGTAAAATAGTTACAATATCCCAGAAATATATAGATAGATGTTAAATAGGGTGATATTAATTCATTTTTTTTAAATGTAAATATCAAATAGAAATGCTTAAAAATTAAAGAAATATAAAAAAAAAATACACTTATGTCTTAAAAGAAGAAGCAATTCATCATGTTAAAGAATGTACAAAATATAGATTATTTGATTTTTTTAAAGATAACTAGCTAAAGTAACGACACGTCCACACGATAGAGACGTACATAAACTTCATCTTTTTAAATCTTCACTTCCCCCCCCTGGCCTCTACCTTTATCTTTTCTCAATCTTACAAACCTGTTTTCCTTGTTCCAGAAAGAAAGAAAGAAAGAAAGAAAGAAAGAAAGAAAGAAAAAAGAAAGAAAGAAAGAAAGAAAGAAAAGAAAAGGTTTGTTGTTTGTAAAAGAATTACAGAAAAAACGAAAGTCACTATTTTGGACTTGCAGAAGACAAACTGCGGAATACTGCTTTATAAACAAATTGGACGATCAAATCGTCCACAAGTGACGCCAATAGAATCAGCAGCAGTAGTAGTTACCTTAACAGTAGCAGCAATAGTAGTACGACTAACAACCTCTCCGATGGTATTTGTCATCAGTAATAAACACAAACACACATACACGGACATGAGTGAACCAAGTAAACGATATTCAGAAGTTTTGATCCAAATAATAAAAACTCCGTGTGTCTGTCAATCATTTATATTCTAAAATGTCTTATTCATTTTTTGGCGGTTTTCCTAACCTAGCCGATTTGTCTTCCATTCTTTTCCCTTTCGACCTAACCCTACCCGCTCTCCATCCAACATCCATCCCATCACTCTTCTTCTTAGTTGTTTTCCTTTCCCCCTCCAGGCGATCGTTTTAAATTTGGAGAGGAAGGGGGCTCTCCTTTTTCGTTAACATTCTTTTCTTTAAAAGCATTCGGGTAGCACTGGTCACTTCATCGTCCGAGTTGACTTTTGAAAATTCGGAGCTACGGTCAAGCAATTTGTTTTTTGACGAATGTCGGACAACAGTGGAGTTTTTCGTTATAGTCAGGGGCCGACATCTGCAGCTGCAGTAGTCGTAGGACCCTGTGAGATTCGCCCGTCCGAAATGAGACGAAGAAAGGTGCCTTCTCCTCTAAATTTAAATACAAGTAAGTCAGCCATTTTTTTTTCCTTCCTGTCTATCTCTTTGGTCTCTCTCTTCGCCCCATTATATTTTGCTGTTTTAGCTTTTTGGCTTTCTTTTCTCTTTATATTTCACGTGTTCTTGTAATTGTTTAAGTTTTGCTGTTGTGCATGACGTTGCTTAAAAAAAAACCCAAAACATAGTTTCTGTTTTTACTTAATCACTCGCGAGAAGATGGCAATATTTGACTTAGTTAAAATATATAAAATGAAATTACATCGTGCAGACACACATATAGCGACAACCTATAAACAGCCATGATTACAGTTTATTTACGCAAATTATAACGAACTAATACAAATATTTAACATTAAAACGTGACCTTAGAAAATATTCACAAATTCACTCTTCATGTTTTGCTTATTGTTTACATAGGTTGAATAAGAAACAGTAAATTTTGAGTTGTTCTGTGTATATAATTCCTACTAGATATATGCACTATAAGCTTTTAGCATTGAAATAATAGATAAATAAAGTATCTTAAATGTATATTATTTGTATATTGTATTTGTAACACGTGATTGCATAATAAACTAGTGTTGTTTATATGTGTCAATATACTTTCCCCTTATTTTGCTAAAGTACTTTGGTCAAGTTGTAGGCACTACTTTTTTATTTTTTACCTTTTAAGAAATCACGTGGTATGAGCATATTTTGTTTTGGCTTCCGTAGTGGTGATCAATTTACAGTTTCTCCCCACTCCACTTCTATTAATTTTTATAAAATTGAATATTTTATATATATATATATATATATATATTCACTATCTGGATTGATTAATCTATAATAATATGTAAAATAAATAAATAAAATAAAAAATCGGAAATATGATTATTTCTGGCCGCTTTCCTTATTGTACGATTTCGCCAGTACTTTTATGAAACAAGTGATTACAAGTTATATTTTGACTATTTAGTGTATGCTTAACAAGTCTACATCTGCAATTTACACATCGTCACATCTATACATCTTTTATTATTATTATTATACGTGATTTTGCATGTTTACGCCAGAGATCAAGTTGTTGCCGCTTAAGACTGCTCGGTATCATGTCTCCTGAAATCTTTAGCACCTTCCTCAGTATTCTCGCAGACAGCATCGTTTTCTGTACAGTCATGCCTTCCTCAAATTTCTAAATACTCGTCTAGTTCGTACGCCTACTATCATAAACAGGATATTAACCTTCATATGTTATACGTTTCACAACTCCAAGGCAATGTGCTGATAATATCTTTGGTCGGTTGACACAGCCACGTTTACAGGCTGGTAGGTCCTTTTTTGCTTATTGAAGTCACTCGGGTTTTTACTTGGTTTTCTTTGTTTCGATGGACTGTCTGATCTGAATGCCTCAACACCATTTTATTTTTTTTTTATTTCCATGAAAGTCCCTGGTTTATGATGATGATATTTGTTTACATGGTTGAAGCCAAATCGTTTGCGCACTTCCTACCCTGTTGTGCCTAGTTTAATGACGGCTAAAAAAAAACTTAGATTATATTAGTAAATACACAGACGAATGAATAAACAGAAATACAGAAAATTGATCAATACTTCTATTAATATATTCAACTTAGCAACCTAAACAAATTCACCATTATTAACTTTGGTTAATAATTATTTTCTTTCGTCTTAATTTTGAGTTGCTTTTAATTACAACTTCCTATGACTGTCATTCTATGGGATCAAGTAAACAACGTAGATAAGAATTGTTTTAAAATGTTAAATATGATCTTCTGCCAACCGTGCAGTTCCTTGTAGCTCATTCGGTAATAGCAGCTGGTGAGGTTGACTGAACTTACCCGAGTCAAAGAAGACGTGACAGACGGCCCGAATATAAAAGTAAATTAAAATGAAAGAAAATACTAAAGAAGCTGCTTATTATAATCACCGTTAATGTCATCCAGCGGATCTTTAAATTTTTTAAAATCGGACTCACCCCATGCAAGGCAGAAAAGTCACTAAGACGCAAGGGACTACACTAGAGGGTGTGGAAGAATTTGGAACAGAAACATTAATAATGAGTGGAAGGAGAAAATAGTAATTAGGAGGACGCCAGATAGCGATTGACATTGCATTTAGTTTTTTTTTTCAGATTAAAGTTGGCTGGAAAGCGACAAGTGCGAGTTATCAAAAATTAATCGATGCCAAATATTTTATTTAAAGATTAAAATTATTACAGATTGAAAAATCACCCGTTCAAAGTTACAGGGTTTGTTCGTTTGTTTTTTTTTTTTTTTTTTTTTTTTCGACTGTACACGTCTAAGTTAATACTTGCTTACAATGTTTCACATGATAAAAGAAAAAGTAATGATCATATTTACCGAAGCAAAATGCAAGAAAAAAAAAACTTCAGATGGGTCATGGGTTTTCTTTTGCCCCAAATAATAATAATAATCAAGTGAAAAGCATTAGTGAATTGATTTAATTCTAGTACACTTTGAAACTCATTCTTCATAATTGACTAGCTTTTATAAAAATTTAGCCAAACTCTACTTTATTCAAGCCCTTTTGTTACGCATTATTGATGTGTGCAAAGGTTTCCAGTAGAAAAAACAAACGGGTTTTGTGCATTCAGTACCTGGTTTTCTAAAAAAAGAGTACTGTAAACTTTTGCAAACACCTAAATCTCGTAGCTTAATTGAAAATAAATTAGTCTTTATTGTAGAACTATTTGAATAATTTCACATTGAGTAATTGGACAGATTCATTGTGTGCGGTTATAATTGATCAACGCGCTACCCAAAAGTTCGGGAAATTTGAAAACAGCAAGCGAACTGAGTGTGGTGCGGATTTCAGTCTCTATCCCTTGTGAGCAGTCAGTGGCGAACTGAGCCTAAAAATATTGGTTGTCACGATACAAAGTTGGGCCCAACTACAATGCTATCATTTAATTTTCATAGCGAAAATTTTTTTTCCAAAAATACATACGGAAAAAAGGATACAGTTAATATTTTTGTGAAAATAAATGTGTATTTTTTACTAATTACAATATATATATATATATATATATATATATGTACTGTATTTATCATTGGCAGTAGATACCAAATGTAAATACAATCATTTATGTGCTATGCGTGATACATGCTTAGGCGATCATCTGTCCTTCGAGGCAGATTTTTTTTCCCGCAGTAGTTTGCCCTTTTTTTCTATGGTAGACCAGTTGCCATCCAATGCTATAGAACCCGGTCTGTTATTTAATCATCCTCTTTTTCTCTCCTCATGTTAGAGGGAGAAGAGGATTCATACCTTTCCCAAGGGTATTAGTACATAAGTGAATTTGACTGGAATTCGAACTTGGATCTATCGATTTCTCAATCCGAGCCGATATCCATTAGTCCACCGTTATAATAGTATTTATTTTTATTTTTTAGTAATTATTTTAAACAATTATTATTTTTTATTTTAAAGTAATTATTTGACATTTTTAAATACTTTACTGTACAATTTACACATTAACAGGCACAGTAGAGCATTGTACACAATACACAACATTAAGAGCAAGTATTTGTGTTCACGAGATGATTTGTTCGTATTTACCAATAATTGCTTCTGCGTCGAATTCATGTAACAATTCCTTTTCAATGGATAGCAACATGTGTGATTCTAAATTCTCCCCAATTCCATAACCTTGTCTCTAGGATTTTTAGCTTTTGGAAATGTCCACGTTGGACTTTAGTAACTGATAGTGTGAAGATGACTTTATAATGTCATTATTTGTTTTTTTATTACTAAAAAAATGTCCATGTTTGTTTCTTTATTGCATTTTTTATTTGATATAGGGGTGGGCACTCCATCAGTGGCCCATTTGCCATCGGACAAGCTGACAGCCTGCTCAGTCCTCTACTGTGAGCAGTACACTCTTTAAAAATCATTTCGCAAACCGCAGCTGAGCACTGGAAACAGGGGCAATATTGTTTATGGATAAATTTCTCGAAATATTAGGTAGCAACTTATTACGAAAAGTTTTTTTACACATCGCCAACCCTAGCAGGGGAAAACATGCATATTAATTTCCAATTCAATTATCAAGTTAAAAAAAGCAATAAAAAAAACCAATTTTTTTTTGTGGTAAAACTTTATTTCTTAATTTTTTAAAAGAGAATTGGAGTTTCTAAGTGATTGATTTTATTTACATTGTAGTCCATTAATTATTCGTATCAGTCTCCTCATATTTGTTACTTGCGGCGCAAATTTTCGGCCGATGTGCTATTCAGCCTTCTTCAGGTTTACATCCAACATTTTTTTCATGATATTGTTCTATCGATACATGATATCTCATTAGGTGTTACGTTTTACCAGAAGAGTAAATTCCCAAATCTTCAAAGCGAAGCAAGCCAAAATGTATGGTGCATTCTAAGCTGAACCTGTTGCATTTTATTGAAAAATATCTATCTATCTATCTATCTATCTATCTATCTATCATTATTATTATTATTATAGTTAAAGCATATCATAAATAAATGGTCCCAAAATTAATGATTGCCATACACACGAGCAGGGCCGGTGCAAGGATTTAGTGTCGTCCGAATCTACGATACTGATCCCAACATTCTACTTAATCTCAATCTTCATAAGTTAGTATTCGTATAAAATACGCATTTTATTGTAACCTAATCATGTACAATAATGGCTCATGTGCAATATAGGTGAACAATTCAGCTAGAAAAGTTGAAAATAAATACAATATATCTAAATACAAATTAGAGACCTGACATAATAAGATCATTCGATCTTAAATCAGCAAACTTTTGTGACAATTTTCAACATCAATTTGAGATTTGTTTTGTTGAAAAGTTGAATAATTTTTACACGTTCAAAATTATGAATAAAAAAAATAGTAAATTTATACAGTGTTTTTTTTTTTTTTTAGATTTAGCATGAGCGAAACAAATTTATGGATTTGGAAGAAAAAAAAAGGGGGGGGGGCAGAATGACGTCAAAATCCGCTAAAATTTCTCCTCCTTTAGTCACTTGTGCTTAGTTTAATTTATAATGCATATAAATGTAGGTAGAAAAAAAAAAAGTTGTTCAGATAGCGAAATTCACAAAGCCCATCCCGGAGCCTCCAATTGAATCTCGTGGGATTCGGTAATAGTACGCACAGGTCCTGAACACGTGATCAACTTTTTGAAGACAATCATAAAATATAGACGTAACATGGAAACTTTGTGAACCGACATAAGTGGTTAAATAATATATGTTGCTCCGAAATTGTAAAACTATTAGTTTTTATTGCGGGGCGTGTATTATTATTACTATTATTACTTCGTTTGATATCCTCTCCTACTTTTAGGTGTTTCAACCGGGTGATAATAGCTAATACCTCAGCTCTTGTTTGCAATTGGGTGACGCTACATATTTATCAACACATGAGCTGTTTCAAGCAGTGCTGCCATCCATTACACCTTTTGTTTTGATCGTAATTCGCAGAGAGGGAAATAAGAGGATTGCTTTGTAGTTTGTCAGCGCAGTAGCTTTTTACATAATACCCCTCAAATGATGCACACACACACACACACTATATATATATATATATATATATATAATAGTAAAAAAAAGGAAGAACAGTAAGAATATATTTTATAGTAAAAATTCCAAAATTCGATTGAAGATGAAACAGAACTAATGCTTTTAATTTAATATAATTGAATTTGAAGTTTTTGTTTTCGAAACATGATAATTCCTGTGTAGCGATGAAACCATATTTTTAAATCAGCTAATATATATATATATATATATATATATATTATATTTAAGGATTATTACTATTGTTATTACTTCACTAGCACCATACCCGTAAAAATGGAGTATTTACATATGGATCAGCGACATTTTTATCTGCGATCAGTATTGTGTGCCTTGCCTATGGCCCAAATGCCACTTCTCTGCACTCTGCTTATGCATGTAGTATCTGTGCACAGTATGAAAAGTGTTAAACGCACATACACACGATCTCTTTCTTCCGCTTATAATTTTCTATAATTATAAGTTAAAAGTGTTCAATATCGGAGATAGAGCGTTTACGTTTACCTTGAGGAGAAAATCGCAATAATTACCTACCAGGACGAAAGATCAGAGGCAATTTTCAAATGCAGAAGCGGAAACAAATTCTTGCTACAGAACTACAACCAAATCATGAGCAGAAAGACGAAATTAAAATCCCATAACCCAAGTCAAATAAACTTCATTCCAAATACTAAAACCGAAATATATTTTTTAGATCTATATTTTTATATTTTAGAACCGAAGAAATATATATATATATATATATATATATATATATATATATATATATATATGTCAGTCTTATATCTAGAGACGAGACGCGTTAAATTTGAGCAACATCTAGCCGACACACTGGGGTTAAAAATAGGAAATTGAAATGATACATATGACACACTCATATCCTCTCTCCCACCTCACTTCCTCACTTCGTTAACTTTTGCGTATACTTGATGAGGTCCGTCAAAAACGTGTGAATTTCTTTTTCATTTTTCATTTCAGCTTTTGGAAGTAAAGTCTGATGATCCAGAACCCTGTTAAAGGGTTATGGTGAAATAGCTTATTACATGGAATCTTAACGTGGTCTGTCTTTTATTCAAACATATCTGCTCTGAATTTTACATTGAGCTTCTGATATCATCCTCCTCGGGTCTACCCATACGGATTACCTAAGTTTGCATAAACTAAATATATATATATATATATATATATATATATATATATATATATATATATATACGTGTGTTTGCAATCTAGAGGTCATGTCCCCGAATAGATAACCCTAAAAATTAGCCCTAAACAAAAGGACTGAATAGACCAGTTTCCTCCTTCCACCTATATAGAGAGATCCCTAAAGGAGTCGTAGTACTTGATCTCCAGATCACCGTGAGAAGTGAAACAGACAGTAACCACTCAGTGTTGATTCCTATGTTTGCAGTATCCAATGTGTGTAGATACACATTGCGTTTTATATGATTATCGTATAGTGTATATGAAGTTATTTGTATCGCTAAATATGCGTAGTTGATCTCACTAGATAACTTCATTTGTCCTTTTCCCTTGTAGATAAGTACATCAACATCCATTCTGGAAAAGGCCCCGAAACGACTTACGGGTTCTAGCCCATTAGGATAGCAAATGGGTGCCTTCTGTTTATCTCTATAGCCTGGTTCTTCATAACCTGGTGCCCATGGAACCATGCGTTTCAGGGGTCTGCTGGGATCAGATAGAAATTAGCATTTATATTCGCTATACAGCCCTTGTCCCAATCAACGCTTTCTCATTGAAATAAATAAATAAAATGCACCCTGTCGCTGCTTGAAAAAAAAAAAAATGCAAGCAGCTACTATTTACAGTTGCCGACCGCTAGGCGTCTGTTGACTTGCTGTTGGGTTCATGTTTACCATTTAAATGTGCGTCATCATTCTCTGCACGACCGCCATCTTCTGCCACTCCATAAGAGCAAATGGTGATTCTTATTTTCCACGGTTTCATTATCTTCAAGAGTGGCTGAAAAGTGATGTGAGTATGAGGGTACAGTATGGAGAAATGCACGTACAAGTGTGATGAAAAAACAATCTGACTGCGTATATCTGTTTATGAAGAGCTAGTTGTTATATGGGTCTGTGGCTAAAGAGGTCAGTAACTCAAGAAAGATTAAGAACCACGTCAATAGACGACCTATAATCGAAGATAGCTAAGACTAAGTTTAGAGGGTTAGTTAAATGACACATTTACTCGTCCCATTCCATGGTCATAAATATTTTCAATTTCTGTCTATATTTCTGAGATGAGGTAATATGTACACTATTTACATTATTCGGACTATTGTCCTCATCTTTATCGCCATATTTATCAAAGATTGTGAGTTCAATACCTGGTTAAGGCAGTGGAGAATTTTCAGAAGGGAATTAACAGGAGATAACTGACATCCATTAGGCATGGCACGTGGAACTAGAACAGTCTACCTCAGTGAGCGAAATAAAGGGTTCAGTTCGGCATTCCAACCACCTGAAAAAAGCCGGGGCGTACAACGGCCGAAACATTGTGATAAACATGGCGACAAAGATGAGAGCAATAGTCCGAATAATGTAAATAGTATATATTTTCAATTGTTTTCTTTTTGTTCAATGCTAAACTACAAAAGTGGATATTTCATAGAGGTACATAGTGTAAGAAAAATGTCTGTTCACGGCTTATTTGGTTAATCTCAATTTAGTAAATTTCCGTGCGGATATTTATTAAACTTCAATTGGTATAGTCATAATCACGAGTTTCATAACTCCTCCTACTCCGAGGGGTACCACATATACTGCAACTGTAGACACATTGCTTGTGGCTAGGCTAAGATAACTTGATGAAATTCACTCCACTTCAGGTTGGTTTTAAATTCAGTGCTGTCCTTCCTTTAAACCGGGTGCCATTAAAGGCTGGAGTAAGAGGGATTCTTGCCTTTTCTAAGAGCATTGGTGCGATGTAATTGAAACGATCTTAAAAGATGAGCAAATTGAGTAGGTATGTAAATACAACTGGTTCGGTGAGAGTTGAACATTTGTTTAAAATAAAAAAAACAAAAAAAAACGAACAAACAATGTTTCCTGTTTTTATAACATAGGCGTGTTCTTCATATTGAGGAAGGCTAACTCTGAATTTTATTTGAAGGTGAACCTTTCCCAAGGTTATTTGCGACCGATTAACAATTGTAAGCCAATACACCAGCTGCACATCCAAGTTACAGCATCTGGTATTCCCAAGCGGTCAGCTCTCTAGGGACTGGCAAGGCCCGACGTTGCTAAAACGGGTGTTCGCTCCTTTCTCATCAGAGCTCAATCGTAGACAAGAAATGTGCACAGCGACTAAATTGAACACAAAAAACCAATGTTATATAATAAATAAAGAGTGTTCCAATAACTTGGACCGATTTTAAATGTGAATTAAGTTTAAACGTCTAATTTTCTTTCTTTTTCTTTCAGATTTAACAGCTTAAATATTTGGCAATTTCAACCATGGAAAGATTAACAATCAAGCAACGTTTTAAAGTTATCGAAGCCTATTACGAAAATGGACGTTCAAACAGAAATGCATTTCACGCACTTCTCGATTTTTTTTTTTTTTTGATTTAAAAAAATTTTTTTGGGGTCAACATAATCGAATAACCGAGAGTGTAATTGGAAACGATGTAACGTTGTTGCGTAGAGGTTCAATTCCGCGGGATGAAGAATAGAGATGTTTGGATTTTCGGCCGCATTCTCGTGCACTGCAGCAATGTTTTCAGCTGAACGGCGTAAACGAGCACGCAGTGGTGTTTTCAAATCTGCCACCGACCCAGTTTTTTTGAATTTATGAACAATTTTTCCAATTGCACTCTTGAAACTTTAACACGTTGCTCGATTGTTAATCTTTCCATGGTTGAAATTGCCAAAGACTTAAGTTTTTAGATCTAAAAGAAAAAAAAATC